GGTTTCTTGACCTCACAGGTTTGATGTCTGGTGTAGTGATGTGAGTGGTAGTACGATTTATTTCCCCAATTATGTCATGTTCATTTCTGAGACGTTTGCTTTTGTCTGACAGCAGATTTTGCTATGTTTATTTTCGTTTTGCTGTAAATATATATAATTTTTTTTATATTCTGTATAATATTTTATGTTTATTGATTGCGAGACTTTTAATAAAGAAAAATTGGGAAGAATGCTCCTCACACTTGTGGTCTGTGGGAAGAATGCTCCTCACACTTGTGGTCTGTGGGAAGAATGCTCCTCACACTTGTGGTCATTGGGAAGAATGCTCCTCACACTTGTGGCCAGTGGGAAGAATGCTCCTCACACTTGTGGTCATTGGAAAGAATGCTCCTCACACTTGTGGTCATTGGAAAGAATGCTCCTCACACTTGTGGTCAGTGAAAAGAATGCTCCTCACACTTGTGGTCAGTGAAAAGAATGCTCCTCACACTTGTGGTCAGTGAAAAGAATGCTCCTCACACTTGTGGCCAGTGGGAAGAATGCTCCTCACACTTGTGGTCATTGGAAAGAATGCTCCTCACACTTGTGGTCATTGGAAAGAATGCTCCTCACACTTGTGGTCAGTGAAAAGAATGCTCCTCACACTTGTGGTCAGTGAAAAGAATGCTCCTCACGCTTGTGGTCAGTGAAAAGAATGCTCCTCACGCTTGTGGTCAGTGAAAAGAATGCTCCTCACACTTGTGGTCAATGAAAAGAATGCTCCTCACACTTGTGGTCAGTGAAAAGAATGCTCCTCACGCTTGTGGTCAGTGGGAAGAATGCTCCTCACGCTTGTGGTCAGTGGGATGAATGCTCCTTACACTTGTGGTCATTGGGAAGAATGCTCCTCACACTTGTGGTCATTGGGAAGAATGCTCCTCACACTTGTGGTCAGTGGGAAGAATGCTTCTCACACTTGTGGTCAGTGGGAAGAATGCTATTCACACTTGTGGTCAGTGGGAAGAATGCTCCTCACACTTGTGGTCATTGTGAAGAATTACCATCTTACAGATAGCTAAAAAGATCAATGGTGTCAGTGGGAACATATTTGAGAGGCAGAAAATGCTCATTGCTCAAGGAACCCCTAGCAACCTTTGGAGGAACCCTAGTTGAGAAACCCTGCCTTAGACAATCTTGCCTTGTACCTTGTTTCTGGCAAGCCTTGAACTCTTTGCTCCTCCCATGAACATCCTGATTTAAGCCATACTTACTGTTTGCGAGATTGCTGTGGTCTCTCCAGCCAATATCTGGCTACCATATCCTTGCTACCACTTGATACTGTCCTTTGGTTTGTTCCTCAACTACACTTCTGATTTATTCCAACCTGCAACCACTAGTTACCGATCTTTGGCTTGCTTACGGAATACGCTTCTGCTTGATTCCTGTCAGGATACTATCACAGGTAATGCTATTCTTCTACAGCTCATGAAAGCTCTTCAGCTACTCCTTATTTCTGTGCAGCTTATGCTCATGCGCGTATACCAGCACACAGACGAGCTCAGGCTATTATCCAGTGTGCACTGACATGTATGTGCATTTCTGTGCGCCAGTACGCATCGGCGTGCACAGGGATGCTGATAGAAACCACAGGACCCCATACAGCCAACCTGACAGGGCCCCCCCCCACCAAAAAAAAAAACACAGTTTACTAAGCTTCAGTTATGAATGAGCACAATGAGTGATTGGTACCGCTCACTCATTGTGTTAATCCAGGAAAGGAAGGGGATGGTAAATGTGACATATTTCCAAGACCTTTCCCGCACTCTCCGTCCTGAACGATCCTATTATGTGTTGGAGTGGAAAGGAGAGGAGGGAAACTGACAGCACTGGGGCACACAGGGGGAAACATATGGTTGACAGGGAGGGTGAGGGGTGCGGCGGGGCAATTACTGGAACCGATCCTCTGTATGGTTCTCTCTGCAGCAGCTGAAAGCCAGCGGGAGGGAGAGGAGAAGAAGCCAGCTTTCAGCTGCTGCAAAGAGAGCCATACAGGGGATCAGTTCCAGTAATTGCCCCCCCCCCCCTCTGCTGAGGCAATCACCCTCCCCTGCCCACATCAAATACACCCAGCTGCCCCGTGTGCCTGGGCCCCGTACAGGCGGACTGGTGGTAGCCCCTTATCCACGGCCCTGTGCGCGCAAGTCTATGAGCGTGGTGCCAAGCTGCCTGTTTAAAGTAGACTCTGCTCTGTACTAATCGATGGATGTTTCTCAGCTTCCTGTGACCCGTGTTCCTGCTTGTGCTGATCTTCTGTTGCTGACCCAGCTTGTTCCTGACCTTGCTCTCTGGATTTTGGATTTTCACCTTGGCTTGCCTCTGACTACTCTCTGCCTGATCTCCTGATGCTGACCCAAGCTTGCCTCTGACTACACTCTGCCTGATCTCCTGGTGCTGACCCCAGCTTGCCTCTGACTACTCTCTGCCTGATCTCCTGGTGCTGACCCCAGCTTGCCTCTGACTACTCTCTGCCTGATCTCCTGATGCTGACCTCGTTTGCCTCTGACTACACTCTGCCTGATCTCCTGGTGCTGACCCAAGCTTGCCTCTGACTACTCTCTGCCTGATCTCCTGGTGCTGACCCAAGCTTGCCTCTGACTATCCTCTGCCTGATCTCCTGGTGCTGACCCCGGCCTGCCTCTGACTGCCCTCTACCTGATCTCCTGATGCTGACCCAAGCTTGCCTCTGACTATCCTCTGCCTGATCTCCTGATGCTGACCCAAGCTTGCCTCTGACTATCCTCTGCCTGATCTCCTGATGCTGACCTCATTTGCCTCTGACTACTCTCTGCCTGATCTCCTGGTGCTGACCCAAGCTTGCCTCTGACTGCCCTCTGCCTGATCTCCTGGTGCTGACCCAAGCTTGCCTCTGACTATTCTCTGCCTGATCTCCTGGTGCTGACCCCAGCTTGCCTTAGACTACATTCTGCCTGATCTCCTGGTGCTGACCCCAGCTTGCCTCTGACTATTAAGGTGCAGCGCTAAAATTATATAAAATCGCAATACGATAAAATGCAATGCAATGCTGGAATTAATCAAATCAATCTTGATGCTATATATAAAGTGCAAGTAGTGCTAATACAAGTGACAATTCAATCAGCGCAGGCAAATGTATAAAGTGACAACAGTGTAAATGCACATCCATCAAAGTGCTATAAAAGTGATAAAGTCTGTAAATCAATATATAAATAAACGTGAAGCTTCAGATAAAAGTGATCCTCTGTGAGTCTTCTGATGATAAATAAATAATAGAATTACGCACTCACCAGATGCGTAATTCCATCACGCATTTGAGAATAATTCTATCTCAGTGGGCCAGCTGGATCCTCTTATGGACTCCTCTACCATGGTATGGACTCCTTTCTGGGTCATCAATGGGATGCAGCACCTCTCACCTCTTTCTGCAATGGGCTATTCAGTGCTGGAGTTTCCACATTGCCACTGAAAAAGAGCCCTTTTTTTAACCGGAATGCATCAAAAGCGAACCAGAACACGTAAAAAATGCGTATGCAGAAACACATCTGGAATGCGTCCCGGACTGCGTTTCTATGGTGTGACCCGGCCCTGAAGGTGAATATTACAGCAAAAGCCGTTTTTTGTTCTTTTTATCCTGTTTATTTTTAGCTGGAGTTCTGCTTTAACTATCCAGATGGTCATTTTACAATCTTTTCTTTCTTTCTGCTCATTATTCCTCGATATTTTCTTCTATTTTGTCTCTCAAAAAAAATGTAAAAATATCATAACGCTTGCGCGGAGGTAATGAAGTTGTAAGCAGCGGAGCTTTCGCTTTCGTCTGCAGAGACAATATCTGACCTTCTGTGCGAAAATCCAAGCGCATATTATTACGCAGACAATAATAACGGCGCCTCACCTTGGCCGCAAGGTTTCCCGGCCCGTCACCTATGGGTATATGTTCCATTACGTGCGGCAGCCAAACGATTCAGCGCGGCGGAATTGAAAGACGCCTTCGGGGCCTACAGGGCACGGCGGCTTCTGGAGCATGTTTAGGTTCAATGTAAATGTTGTGCATTTCGATTTTCACGCCGTTGGAAGGGTTTGTAGAAATTGTAGAAATTACATCTCGCGCCGCGCTCCTCGCACCTCCAGATGTATCTCCGGAAATGAAAGAAAAAAAATCTCATTTTAAGTCGGGAGTCTGAAGTTGGCCGCACACACAGATCAGTATTACCAAAGTTCAGGTTGACACCTATGCAGTTTGCGTTTTAACCGTTTCTGCATTGTGTTTTGCATTGCGTTTTTGCACCTGTGTTTTTGATGCGTTTTGCGTTTTTTAAAATTTTTTATGTTTTAAACATTTTTTTGTTGCTAGGCAGATTTAAAATGCAAAACACATAAAAAACGCAGCAAGAACGCACTACATGCTTTTCTACAGCATTTCCATTGAAGTCTATAGAACCAAAAACGCAACTTTTTGCGTTCAAAAAAGTCCCTGACCCTTTCCAAAAAACACACCGGGTGAAAATTTGAACGTGTCCAATACGAAACCATGTTAAATGGAAACGCAAAAGGCTGCGGAAAATGCTTAGGTGTGAACCTGGGGTAACATTGAGCTTTTCACATTGGCAACCTTTTGGTCTATTAACCACTTCAATACCGGGCACCTTTACCCTCTTCCTGCTCTACACCAATTTTCAGCTTTCAGCGCTCTCACATTTTGAATGACAATTGCGCGGTCATGCAACACACTCCCCAAACTAAATTTTTATTGTTTTGTTCACACAACTAGAGCTTTCTTTTGGTGGTATTTAATCACCACTGGGGTTTTGTATTTTTTGCTAAATTAACAAAAAAAAAACCAGAAAATTTTGAAAAATAACCCAAGTTTTCTTTGTTTCTGTTACACAATTTTGCAAATAATTAATTGTTCTTCATAAATTTAGGCCGAGATGTATTCTTCTACATTTCTTTGGTGAAAATAACCCAAATCAGTATTTATTATTTAGATTGTAGGAAAGTTATAGAGTTCACAAACTATGGTATAGATCTGAAAAGTGATCAATCCTGAAGTACTGACAGCCAATCTAATTTCTTGAGGTCCAAGAATGTCAGAACAGTACAGATATTCCCCAAATGTCAGAACAGTACAGATATCCCCCAAATGTCAGAACAGCACAGATATCCCCCAAATGTCAGAACAGCACAGATATCCCCCAAATGTCAGAACAGGACAGATATCCCTCAAATGTCAGAACAGCACAGATATCCCTCAAATGTCAGAACAGCACAGATATCCCACAAATGTCAGGATAGTAGATATCCCCCAAATGTCAGGACAGTACAGAGACCCCCTAAATGTCAGGACAGTACAGAGACCCCCTAAATGTCAGGACAGTACAGATATCCCCCAAATGTCAGGACAGTACAGATATCCCCCCAAATGTCAGGACAGTACAGATATCCCCCAAATGTCAGAACAGTACAGATATCCCCCCAAATGTCAGGACAGTACAGATATCCCCCCAAATGTCAGGACAGTACAGATATCCCCCCAAATGTCAGTACAGTACAGATATCCCCCCAAATGTCAGGACAGGACAGATATCCCCCAAATGTCAGGACAGTACAGATATCCCCCAAATGTCAGAACAGTACAGATATCCCCCAAATGTCAGGACAGTACAGATATCCCCCAAATGTCAGAACAGTACAGATATCCCGCAAATGTCAGAACAGTACAGATATCCCCCAAATGTCAGGACAATACAGATATCCCCCAAATGTACAGATATCCCCCAAATGTCAGGACAATACAAGTACAGATATCCCCCAAATGACCCCTTTTTGCAAAGTAGACAGTTCTAGGTATTTAGTAAGAGGCATGGGGAGTTTTTTGAAGCTGCAATTTTTTTACATAATTTTTTTGGAAAATGAAGAAATTAAAAAAAAAAAAAAATTTGTATTTTTGCATACTGTCACCAGTGCAGTACAGCCTAATTATATAAATGGTGTGGTGGTGATCAGGGACACTGACTGTTATATAATTTGTTTTCAATGGTTTTTTATTTTTTTATTCCTTTTTTTCTTTTTTAAGATTTTTTTTCATAATACACTGTGACCTGAGTACTATAATGTTACCAAAGTAACATTGTACTACTTTGGGGAAGTGATCAGTATTATTATTATTTTTTTTTACACATTACGATTGCTTATAGCAAAGAATTTCTTAGCTAAAAACAAGCATTTAACTGAATGAAATTGATTGGGCTGGGCTGTGATTGGCCCAGTCTGTACATGTGATCGCTGTGATCAATCACAGCTATTCACACAATTGAATATAATGGATGGCATGAAAGAAAGCCATCCATTGTTTATAATTGTCATGTGACCTGCTGTGATTGGTCACAGCAGGTCACATGGTACTGCCACTGGCTGGAACACAGATCTGTCATCTGTCTGGCTGTGTCTGAAGTGACAGATCTCCCCACAGCGTGGCCCCACGGGCCTGCGCCAGGTGTGGATGTCATATGACTTCCACTCAGATCGATGAGAGTCCCGCTCGGCCGTCATTCTCCTATTGGCTGGGTGGGAACAGGTTACATATAAACCATTAACAGCATTTTATTATATCAAATTGAAAAGCGCAAAAAATACCAGTTGACCCTAGTTGAACCTAGTATGTGTATGTATGAATGTAAGTTAGGGACCTTAGATTGTACGCCCCTTGAGGGTTAGGGACTGATGTGAATGTACAATGTATATGTAGCATCCTCTTAGTTTGCCAGGGGGAGCTAGTTTATTTTTCTTAGTTAGGTGGCTTGGAAGCAGCCTGGGTGATAGTCAGAGGATCAGATTTGGCTCTGCAGATCAGCTTTCTGATACCTCCCCCTGATCTAGAGACTTGGAGAAGTCTCCAGAACTCAGTGGGCAGGGGTGAGGAGGAGTTGGGTCTGCACTCTTAAGGAATCTTGACCAATCCCCAAGCAGGAGGCTTGGCATGGGGTCAGGACAGCCCTTAAGAGTGGCTGAGCCTGCTCAAAAGCAAGAGAGTTTGGGTGGAAGATGGAGTGTGAGGAAAAGCTGTAGGAGCCTGTGAGAGAACCCAGTGGGAAGGAGCCTACCTACAGGCTTGAATCTGGAAAGGAGGATCATTCAGACCTCACTGGCCCCCAGAGCGAGGACCACCTGTTGGGCAAGAATGGAGCCAGCCCAGCGGGAGGCCTGAAGGCAGCTACCAACCAACCAGCTCACAGAAAAAAGGACCAAGTGAGTAATCCTAAACCCCCTGGGCCAGTTAAGGGGAAAGGAGCATTAGGATGGGAAACCCCACTTGCTCTATGCCCAGGACTGTTTATCTGAAAGTGGCAGGCACTGGATCCCCTTGCCCAGGGATTCTCTCAGTCAGCCGGGTGAAGATTTCATCTGGGGTCTTGGGTGGTACACCAGGAGAGGCTGGAGAGCTCTCCAAAAAGAGCTTTCTGTCTAAAAAACTTGTGCATCGTTGTTAAGGAGTTTGTTCTCAGTTCACATTTCCCTTGGCCATCCCATACACCCCTCAACCCTATCCAAGTTCAATACCCCTTAACCCCCCTGGAGGTATTCCTGAGTGTAGCTCTGGGTAAAGTTTCAGTACCAAAAGCGGTAACTCCGAGATACACTCTGGAATACTCTGCAGCGTTGCTCAGGGATTCCCTCCAGCACTTACCTTGTCCTGCGCTCCCGCGATGTCCCGCCTGCAGTGTCCCCGGCCATCTCCTCCGGCCGATGCCGGCATCCGTTTTTCCGGGTTCCATTCCCTGCGAGCGTCGAGACATACGGGACATATGGGGGATGGAACCGGCGGGAGATTCAAAAATGTTAAAAGTGACATTCACTCAATACACTAAAATCTCATAGTATTCCATGACTGTATCAGGGGCGAACTGACCATTTGGAGACTCTGGCACTGTCCGAGGGTCCGGGGTCAGTAGGGGGCCCCATGAGATGCCCCTGGTACCTTTTTTCATAGGCTTTTTTGAGTTTGGGCAAGTACACATGGGCCCCATGATCCCCTATTGCCCGGGGGCCCCATGAGTTGTCAGTCCACCCCTGGACTGTATTAAACCATTTCACATACATTGTGTCCCGAGTGCTTTGTCCGACGCCCTGCCTGAATTTTTACTGTTCTTTCTGCCTGGAAACTGAGAAACGTCCATGGCGTCCAAAAAGCGTCCCTTTAGGTCAAAAGCGGTTTTAGACCGGCTAGAGAACAGCGATAGTAAATCAGAACCACTTGCAGAATTGAGTGATAATGATTCGTGGGGGAAATTCCTCATCATCAGACACTGAAAACGATTCTGCGACTTTGCTCAGCGATGTGCGAACTTGGCGCTCTATTTCACATTTCAGTGTTTTTGGTTTGATTATATTATTGAATTAAATTTATTATTATTATATTATTATTTTTTATGATTATTTATTAAATTATAATTTATGATTTCGTGTTTCCAATTTTATCATCTCCGGGATGTTTACTAGACTCTTGTTCGGACAGATTTCAGTGAGTTATTCCTAAAAATTACAGGCCTACAATAAAAAAAATACATATTTCCATGCAAAAAAATGTACCGCTTTGAGCACAGAAATACTGACATAATCAGACCGCTAGGGAGGCTACTGGTTGAACTGGATTGACTTTTGTCTTTTTTCAGCCAGACTAACTATGTACCTTCGTGAGTATCTATTTGGCATCTATGTTTTGTGAACAATAAATCATTGGTAATGCACAAGGCGTTTGCGCCCTCCTGTTTGTTCTTTTTTGTACTTTTGTAAGAATACTATATTGTGCAGCATGTGGGATTCCTTTAAACTTTTATGGTGTAACTAATAAATGTGGAATTTGTTTTATACTCGTGTTGAAGTTATATTCTTGTATGCCATCCTAGAAAAGGCCCTAGCTCTTTATTCTGTTGTACTCATTTCCTTTTGTGTTTAGACAGGTTGGAGAGAGGCCAGCTTCCCAGGTATTCCAAACTTAAGGTGGGAATACACGATTAGAAAATCGACCGATTGGTCATCCGGCGACCGAGAGGGGTTCGTTCGTTAGTCGAAACCAACCAATCTAAAAAAAAATAGTTTGTCGGGCAATACGTAGTGTTGACGTCTTCCGTACAAGTAGAAGCGATGCGGTGTGCGTGTGTCCTTGTAGCCACGCCCTTCCGGCCAGAACAAGCGATCCACGCCCTTCCGGGCAAATCGAGCGGCCCACACCCTTCCGGCCAGAACAAGCATTCTATGCCCTTCCGGGCAAATTGAGCGTTCTGCAGGCCATAGACGGGTCGAAAATTGCCATTTAAAAAAAAATTAAAAATAAAAAATTGGTCGTTCGATCGGCCGATGTTACCACCAACGGTAAAATAATCGGCCGATTTTCGTCCCATCTGTGGCTAGGAAGAAGAAGAATTCCAGTCCACTATTATATTTTTATATGTCTTGCAGTTGCAACAATGTATCCATTTCGGATACAAATGGATACATTGTTGCAACCGCGAGACTTTTCATATAAAATATAATAGCGGACTGGAATTCTTCTTCTTCTTTCTTCTTCTTTCTTTTCCTCTTCTTTCTTCCTCTTCTTCCTCTTCTTTCTTCTTCTTCTACTTCTTTCTTCTTCCTCTTCTTTCTTCTTCTTCTACTTCTTTCTTCTTCTACTTCTTCTTCTTTCTTCCTCTTCTACTTCTAGTTCTTTCTTCTTCTTCTACTTCTTCTTTTTTCTTCTACTTCTTTCTTCTACTTCTTCTTTCTTCTTCTTCTTCTTCTTTCTTCTTTCTGCTTCTTCCTTCTTCTTCTACTTCTTCTTTCTGCTTCTTCCTTCTGCTTCTTCTACTTCTCCTTTTTTCTTCTTCTTCTTCTACCTCTTCTCTCTTCTTCTTCTTCTCTTCTTCTTTCTTCTTCTTTCTTCTTCTTCTACTTCATCTTCTTTCTTCTTCTACTTCTTCTTCTCTCCTCTTCTTCTACTTCATCTTCCTCTTCTTCTCCTTCTTCTTCTTCTTCTTCTTTCTTCTGCTTCTTCTACTTCTCCTTTTTTCTTCATCTTCTACTTCTACTCTCTTCTTCTTCTCTTCTTCTTTCTTCTTCTTTCTTCTTCTTCTACTTCTTCTTCCTTCTTTCTTCTTCCTTCTTCTTCTTTCTTCTGCTTCTTCTACTTCTCCTTTTTTTCTTCATCTTCTACTTCTTCTCTCTTCTTCTTCTCTTCTTCTCTCTTCTTCTTCTCTTCTTCTTCTCTCTTCTTCTTCTACTTCTTCTTCTTCTTCTTCTCCTTCTTCTTCCTTCTTTCTTCTTCCTGCTTTCTTCTTCTTTTTCTTCCTTCTTCTTTCTTCTT